TGCGGGTGGAAACGGTGCTGCGCTGTCAGAAGCCGGTCTGGTGCATGGAGAACGGGCGTGGAAGTGGAGGTGCCAGGGCGCCTGCCGTCTGCTCGCCATCTGTGCCTGGAAGAGGTGTCAGATGACACCCAGCCGAGCGGGGAGGTGACGGGCTGGAGGGACGGCGCTTCTGCTTCCCTGGATCTCGTCTTCCACCGCGGCCAGCACCCTCCTAAACGTTAGGGTGACACATGGTGGAGATTTTTAAGAAATTGAGATAAAATTCATGTAACAAAATTATAAATGGAATCTTACAACACATGGCCTCATGTGTCTGACTTCCCCACTTAGCACAGCATTTTCCTAGTTCGTCCATGGCAGGCATGTTGTTACCTGTTTCAGTAATTCGGTCCTTTTTATTTTATAGCCGAGTAGTATCCCCATGCGCAGTGCTCACCCACCTGATCACCTGCTGGCTGTGCACAGTGTGCGTGGGTTTCTCGTGGACGGTTCCCTTCCCTCGGGCCTGTGCCCGGGAGCGGAATTGCTGGGTCAGACGTAGCTCTGTGCTCCTTCGTGAGGACCGCGCGCTTTCCATTCCTGCGTCTGTCCCCGTGTCTTCCTAGCCTCGCCAGCACTTGTTATTTTCTGAGTTCTAAACGAGTATTGTCATAGCCATCCTGTGGGTGTTTCTATGGTTTTAAATTGCGTTTCCTTAATGATGAAATATGTCGGACATCTTTTCATGTGCTTACTGGCCATTTGTCCGGCTTCTTTGGGAAAATCATCTCTTCCTGCTGGTCAGGTTGGTAGGCAGGTCGCAAGACCCGTAAGTGGAAGGGTGGGCGTAGAGGGCGGCCGGCAGGTAGGTGGACAGACGTAGATCTGCCATCTCCCCACCCCTTCCAGACCGGGCCTGGAGGCTGTTCCTCATCTTTCTCGGTTCCTGTTCCCTCGTGGGGTCTTGCTCACGGATTAATTCCAGTCAGAAACACCTGCCCCCACCTTCCCCCTCCCTGCCCCTCCGTCCCATCTCCCCTGCTCCCTCCCTCCCAGCTGGTCTGTGAAGAAGCACTTAGCTGTGCTCCGAGCCCTTGACCTTGCGGTTAGGGGAGAGCCGGCTAAGGAGACATGGGAGGGAGTCTCTGCAGGACCCGCCTGTGGGGAGCCTGACTAGAAGGTGGAGCGTTTGTCCCAGGGCTGCTCACGGGAGGTGCCCACCCGCCTGCCCAGGACCTGCACCTTCCCTGCAGGGACGCGCTCCCGGACGCTAGACCGGCACGTGGTCTGGGTATGAGGGCGCCGCTGCCGCTGCCGCAGGAGCAGAGCTGTTCCTCCTGCACTTGGGAGGCCGCCCGCCAGCTTTTGTGGTTTTCCTCGCCTCCCCGCCTCCCCGCCTCCCCGCCTCTGTCGATTAGCGTATCTGAAGGGACATTTCTCGGATGGGGCTGCCTTTCGGGGTCCCCGTCACCCGAGTTAAGTGGTTTGCCGGCTGCTCCCCATCAGGCCCCAGCTCCCAGGGAGAGCCGTGGCAGGAGCTGCTGACGCTGCTGCGCGTCCCGACCCGGCTCCTCTCCCGAGTCACCGTGAAGGTGACCTGAGCGTTCACTGCAGGGACCTCCCAGCAAGTGCTGAGGCGGCTGGTCGGTGCGCCCTGGGCCCGCGTCGTCTTTCCTTCCGGGGCCGTGGGCGCTGCGTCTGTCATCATAGCGTGGCCACCGCTCGGGGGCTGTGTATTCCCCGTGGTTCCCTCCAGGAAGAGCTGTATTTGTTTTCTTTCCGTGTGAAATACTAGAAATATTGCCCCTTGGTATCACCTAAAACAGTGATGGCGAACCTTTTGAGCTCGGCGTGTCAGCATTTTGAAAAACCCTAACTTAGCTCTGGTGCCGTGTCACATATAGAAATTTTTTGATCTTTGCAACCATAGTAAAACAAAGATGTATATTTTTGATATTTATTTTATATATTTAAATGCCATTTAACAAAGAAAAATCAACCAAAAAAATGAGTTTGTGTGTCACCTCTGACACGCGTGTCATAGGTTCGCCATCACTGACCTAAAAGTTACCTTTCTCCAAACTTGTGAAAACAGAGTATTTTTATGACTCACTCCTTCTCCCTGGTCTAACCTTGAGAAGACCTTGTTCCCTCTCCCTCCATCCGGTCAGCTGGAGACATTAAAGATGGGGATTAGCCCGGCTGGTGTGGCTCAGCGGTTGTTAAGCGACAACCTGTGAACCAGGAGGTCATGGTTCAGTTCCCAGCAGGGCACGTGCCTGGGCTGTGGGCTCAATCCCCGGTGGGCAGGGTGCAGGAGGCAGCTGATCCGTGACTCCCTCTCATCACTGATGTTCCTCTCTCTCTCCCTCCCTTCCTCTCTGAAATCAATAAAAAAATGTGTATTTTAAAAGATGGGGATCCGAACACCCTTATCCCCTCCACCTGCGGAGACATTAAAGGCGGGATGAGCAGGCGTGGCTGAGTGTAAGCGAGGCGCCTGCCCGTCCCACGCTGGCCACGCTGTGTCCCGGAGGCAGAGTGGGAAGCGCTTCTGCGTGGCTCGGGCAGCAGGCGCGACGGAGCGCTTCGCACAGGAAGCTCTTCGCTGGCTGCCGTGGATGAAAGCAAGATGCCGCCTGCTGGCGGAGCCCCGGGGCCTGCAGGCAGGTGGTGTGGGTGGATGGTTGGCACAGGCGCTCGTCACGGTACGCCGAGTGAAGCCAAACAGGTCCTGCCCTTGTGGAGCGCAGGGCCCAGACCCGCCTCAGCGAGCGCTGCCAGTCCCCTGTCCCCAGGTGGAGGCTAAGGTTGCCCAGGCAAACTCAGTCCTTCCCAGCTCCTGTCCTACCACCTGCTCGCCTGTGAAGTGGAGGGAGCCGTCATCCTGTGAGCTGTGAGGAGCAGGCCAGCTCTCACTGGTGCTCGGGGGGCAGGTTTTGGCCTTTGGGTGGTGGTGGCTGTGGCTCCGTAGGCTCTGTCCCCAGGGACCTGGCCTCCTGGCCGTGGTCGCCCCTCATGTTGCTGGAAAAGGACTCACAAGGGGCCAGCACAAAGGAGAACCAGGGCACAGCACCAGCAGACGCATCCGCCCTCACCCCTCATGCCACACGCCGGGCGGCCCTGCTGTGCGCCTGCCCTGCGCACCCCCTGCCCTGCACACCCCCTGCCCTGCGCACCCCTGCCCTGCACACCCCCTGCCCTGCGCACCCCTGCACTGATGGTGGCGGGCAGCTGGAGGCTGAAGCCTCCTCGTGTATGTAAAGGTGAGACAGTGAGGGGCATGGTGCTCCTCAAACGGTTCTGTTTCTCTTCTGTTTGACCCCCTGGCAGCCTCTACCTGTCACCCATTTCCCTGGCCCTCTGTGTGCAGAGCGGCCGCCTGGGGACTGTGGGAGCGGGTTCTGTGGTCTGAGGACCGCAGTGGCTCTGTATTTCGGCCAGAGCCTCGAACGTGCTGAGCGAGCTCAGAACAGCGTTTTAAGTGTCAGATGTCACTTCCTGCGCCCTGTTTTGTGAAGGGCAGGCTGGTGTCGATGACAGAAAGAGGTCCTGCAGCCCTGGAGTATGCTGGGCGGCTCACTCAGTGCCTGTGTGTCTCTGCACACCCCAGTGGGGGCTGGAGCCAGAGCCACCTCCCAGACTCCCTTGCAGCTAGGCCTGCTAACCAGCGCTTATGCAGGCGGGCTTCTGTCGCAGGTTCCTGCAGAGGGCGAGGGTTGGGAGCTGCCTGGTCTGCTGGCACTCGGTTTCTGGCAGCTCAGTCTGCGTTCTGCCCCCGTGGTCCTGCCCAGGGCTCTGACACCTGGTCATCCCGGGGCGGGAGGACGCCGCGGGCAGCGGGCAGACTTCCTCGGCTCCTTCTCTGCCGCCTCCTCCCCTGCTCATTCCTTTATTCTCCTCTGCTGCCTCCCCTGAAATTCCGTGCACAGATCTGATGACGTTTGGGCTCTGGACCCCAAGGAGCGATGCCCGGCACAGTGGGCAGTATCTCAGACTCGCTGTGTCGTTCCCGCGCGGCTCGCGTGGTCATAAATCCCGACAGGTCGCAGCTCCTGCCACTCGCCCTCAGCTGCGGGGCATTACCCCGGCCTCCCCGCTCCCACGCAGCCTCGGCCGTGTGCTGACATTCAATTTACTGCTGCTCATTTCAGAGCCTTAAAAATATTAATTAATTCCCACGGAGCCCCAGGAGGCACATTCCTGATCTCCGCAGTGCCTCTCGCGCCAGCCCGTTAACGCGTCCTTTCGGGGCGCTCAGTAAGGAAACAGGCTGTCCTCTCAGCAGCCCGCAGCGGAGATCTTCACGGAGCCACGGTCCCCGTTTCGCTGCCGTCCCTGAGCGGTGTGGCCCGAGGCCAGGGGGT